ATCTGATACACAGGCTGAACATGAATTAATTCGTAAAGTTGCAGTAGAGGCAGGTGCAAGTGATGCGGTACCATCGGCACATTGGGAGTTAGGAGGAGAGGGTGCAATAGAATTGGGGAAAGCGATCATTAAGGCGACAAATGATAAAGAGGAGAAACGAGAATTCAGGTTTTTATATGACGTAAACAAGCCAATTGTCGAAAAAATTGAGATTATTGCAAAAGAAATGTATGGAGCTGATGGAATAGAGTTGAGTGAGAAAGCTATGGAAAAAGTTGAAAGATATACTAAACAGGTAACCAATTCTAATAAGAAATTAAATAAATTAAATGGATTCACTGAGAAGATGATTAATTCCCAACTTAACACTATTATATTTTATTTTTAATTAAGGGATTTGCAAATTTACCAATATGCATGGCCAAAACGCATTTATCACTTTCACATGATCCAACACTTAAAGGCGTGCCTACAGGATTTACGGTAACGGTACGAGACATTCGAGCATCAGTTGGAGCAGGATTTTTATATCCATTGTTAGGGGAAATGCAAACTATGCCCGGATTATCTACTGTGAGTAATTAATATATCGAAAATTGTAGCTTTCTTTAAACCATTTGATATGAATGATATTAATTTTTTAACTTATAAACTTAATAGCGTCCGTGTTTCTTTGATGTTGATTTAGATACAAAAACTGGAAGAATACATGGACTATTTTAATATATTGATTGTATTATGCATCCATAATTCTTATGGAAGATTGATATTATTTAAGTTAGGGATGCCGACAATGTTCATAGTTTAATTCGATGAAATATCTATTAGCTATATTATATATTTTTAAAGCTTAGACTAAATCGTAAAAACTATCAAAATTTCAACTGATAAACTAAATATATTTGCAATAAAAACAATTAAACTAAGAAACTATAATATTTTACCGATTTTTTTTAATTAATATATACAGTCAAACCTCTCTATAATCACACACTCGGGATACAAAAATGTGTGATTGTAAAGAAGTGTGACAGTTATAGAGGTCAAATTTAATATATTTAATAATAGTTTGTTTTTAAAAAAATATGCTTATAAAGAAAATGTGCTTATATAGGAGGTGACTATAGAGAGGTCTGACTGTATTAGCATTTGTTTTTTTAAAAAAATTAATTTGGCATCTAATTACCATCGATCTCAATTATAAAACTTTGATAATATTTGATACTTCAAGATCCATATTTTCACAAATTTTGCTTAATGTATATCTAGATCAGCGTTCTCTAATGACCGAGTAATTTGCATTTTGTAATGAAATTTTGAGTCATTAAAAAGTCATTTTAAAGTCATTTGAACTTTAGAAGGCTTAAATGTTAAATTAATTAATTTATTTATAAAGTTTATTATATTATCAGCTGTATGCAATATTATTATTACCTTAATAAAAAAATTTTGCTTATTTGATCATTTGTCCATTAAAAGTATTAAAATCATTTTGAAACACTGATCTAGATTGTGGATTGGATTTTTCGAAATTAATTAAGTTCAAATAACCTTGATAAAATTTTTAAATAGACTTAAAAATTTTATTCGTTGACGCATATTTCGGCACTGGTGAATTCAATTAGTTAACTAATCGATTTCTTATTAAACTTTTGATTTGTAGCACTAAATAAATTCCGCTTGACATAAAAGTAATCGATCTAAATTATCTAAATTGTAACTCGACTAGGCCGAAATTTATAAATTGCTTAGCCAGCTATGTAATATTAATTGCTTTTAGTACAGTTTCCATATAAACTTACTCTTATCATCTATATATAAAGTATACGTACAATTGGCCAACCAGGAAGTTAGTCTATATCTACTGTAGCGCAGATCACATGGACTGTACTTTTGGGACATCCCAATATCTCGCGCATTATTACTTAATATAGTAGTACGTGAGAACGCGTCTCATATGGAATCTTCGGCATTGTAAAGAAATCAAGCTCTTTTATTCTTCGTTCCGATCTTAAAAAAAATTATGGCAAGAAATGCTCAAATCTCTTCTAGACAGCCCAAACGTAAATTGGCAACAGCAAAAAAGTCGCCTAGACGTAGTAATGTATCAACTTCAAGTAGTGGTCCTTCTTCAACGAGAAGATCCAGACGTAAGTTAATTCTTAAATAATGGTCTCACTGATTAAATTTTGGTTTTTAAT